TCCATTCAATATTCGAGCTTCAAGCCTTTTTAGTTTTATTTTGTTCACAGTTCAGTTCAAGGGTTCTTACGTATCCAAGAACTGAAGCTGTTTAGTTTGTTTTTTTTTTTTTATTTCATTCAAACACTTTTCTGATCAGTACTTAGGGATTAAGTACAGTGGTTAGCTCGAGGGATTCGAGAGATAGAAGTCCACGAGACGTGGCTGGAGAAGTAATTGATAAGATCGTTTGTAGTTGTGGCTAGACTAGAAGGGAGTTCGAGTCGTATAAGTCCAAACTATACAAGTGTTCAACGGTTTATCAGTGAAAGAGCTCTGAGGGGAAGTGGGACGCTTCCCTGAAGAGTTTTTACATCTTCGGTATATTGTTTCTGCTATTTACGTTGTTTATCCACGTTCTTACATCGTTTTGCGCACTCGAGTTAAAAATATACGTTTCAATGTTCCGACGCCGCAACACCGTCGGTTTTCGTCACATATACGCGAAGGTTGCACCGCCAGTTCAACCGACAGGACACGACGCTAATCGCTCGGAGGCCGGAGGGCAGATCTCGCCGGCAAGCGTGACGCCAGCGACCGAACGTCCTTCCACTAGACAACCGAAAAGGAACACGCCGTCGTCGTTGCAGAGCTCCGGTCGCGACAGGGTGGTCCGCACGGCAGGTACGCAGATTGCGCAGGGCAGCAGTTTGCTTGTATGTCAAGGGCATGAATTTGTAAATTAGATTAGTCTCAAGGGTCTTATTGTAATTTTAGATATTTTGCTTATATTTCAATTCAGCTCATGTGCTAAATCTATAATTTATAAAAATATATAAAAAAAAAAAATTATATATATAAATATGTATTATCAAGCAATAATGATATGAAAAAACATTAACAAAAATGTAAAATATTAAAAATATTTTTATAATATAAAAAATAAATTATTTTGTTTATATGTGTAAATTCGGTTAGCTCGGTTCGATTTTAGTTTAGATTTGAACACGAAGAAAATACACTACAAAATGCGCAAATAATTTTAAACGGGATGCATATCAGTAACTACCGAAATGCTCAATAGTATTTATTTTTATCTTTATCTTTTATCTATATATATTATTTATTTTGAACAAAAAATAATATAAAATATTAAATAAAAAATTGTAAATACTAAGTATAATTTTACTATATAAATTAGTATATAAATACAAATGACGTTAATTGATATACATATTATTAAAGTTTATAAAATAAAAATGCACATAAAAAGTACACGATCAATAGATTGAACGATAATGTTAAAATAATATTATTTCAATTAGTTGAATTAATTCGATGTACAATTATATCTACTATATGTGGTCATATAAATTCGTGTACTTTATAAAACAACACGTTGCACTTTATAAAACAATACATTGCACTTTATCATCACACTCCACAGTTAATGTCGACAATCCTTATTAAAAGAGTTTGTAGTCAATATGGAACAAAAAAAAGAGTTTTTCAGTGTAATATCAGTTTGGACAAAGCTTAACATTTTTCATGAGTCATGACAGCATGAATATATATCTATTTCAAGGGAATGCATTCCCAAATATGTATACACAGAAACCTCAAGTAGATACAGATAACAAGCTTCACCATAGCTAGTACATATAACAACCTCAAATATACACAAAAACCTCAAATGTCACTATGTATCTTTCTCATGAATATTCAGAAACTATCACAAGGTTTAGAAGTAAAATTGAAAACTCAAAAGCTTCACCATTTGTATTGCATAAAATCCAAAAGTACAAGCACAAGTGTTTAAAACAAGCTTACACCAACCAGAAACATAAGCCAATGTCTTTCTCAATCCAAAACTAGCTTCAACAAAACAAAAAAGCAATTCACTAGACTTGCAAATCATCAAAACCAAAAGTTACAATGTTCTTGAATGAACTAAAAACTTGTTGTTTGATTGCTTTTTACATTTGTCTTGGAGCTCCTTTTTGCTACAAGTTTTTTTCCCTTTCCATTTCCATTGAATGGCCTTTTCTTGACCTGAAACAAACAAGACATGTGAGAGACTTATAAAACATTAACTTATTTGATTGACAAAATTTAACAAAAAATTGTAAAAATACCTGTCCACTAGGGGGACTAATCTCATGTGCAGCTGGGATTTCCCTTTCCCTTTTATCTTTAGCATTTGGACAACCTCTAATATTATGATTAGCACCTCCACACCCACTGCATTTCATGATAGCCCCTTTCTTTCTTATCCTAATTCCACCTTCCTTTGTCTGTGTGTGAGAAGACTTTTGGGAACAATTTTCATCTGCTTCTTTCTTTCTAGCATACTTCTTGGGTCTTCCTGGAAGCTTTTGAGAAACTAGTGGCATGAGTGGGGTGACATCTACCTTGGGCCATAGATCAACAGCATCCAATGCTCCCATCATAGTGGAATATGCCTTCAAGAAAGTATTTTTTTTTTGTAGCATATATCCACAGTCTTCTGGCTTATGCCCAAGGTAATACATGGCACTAATGGCATGTAAACATGGAATTCCATTCAGCTGCCACCTCCTGCAATTGCATGTTTTGTCTCCAAGGTGCACTTTATTGCTTGAGCCAAAACACCCCTCAATCTCAAACTCATCTTTCCCATTCCAGTGTGGTATGAAGTCCATAGCCTTCTTTTTATGCATCTCAAGTATCTTCTCAATCTTAGGACAAAGGTCCCCAGTATGCCTCAACATCATATCTCTTCTTTTATGCATCCTTTGCATGAGCATGACTCTAATAAATTCTAGCATACTTATAATAGGCTTTGATCTAGCCCTTAAAATCATGCTATTGAAACACTCTGAGAGGTTGTTCAACAAAAAATCACATTTAGAATGAGTGCTGAAATGGGATTTTGACCATTGGGCAGGGGGCTTATCTGTCAACCAATCATATGCATCAAGATCTCTTTCTTTCAGTTCTTTCATTGCATTTTCAAAATCAATAATTCTGGTGGCCCTTGCAAGCTTAAAGTTCTTATACAAATGCATGACACAAAACCTTACCTCAGCACCTGGATAAAGTTTATCAACTGGCTCAACCAACCCCTTCTGTTTATCTGACATGATTGTCCAATGAAAGGGATTTTCAATCCCCAAATCCTGCACTAGTAACTCAATAAACCAACACCAGGATTTTGTTTTTTCCTTTTCAACCACAGCATAAGCAAAAGGGTAAATACAAATGTTTCCATCAATACCTACTGCTGTCAAAAGAACCCCCCTACATGCAGTTTTAATGTGGCAACCATCAAGAAAAATAACTGGCCTACAACTCTCTAAAAGGCCTCTCTTTAATGCCCCCCAACAAACATAAAACCTTTTAAACACTGCATGGTCACCCTGAAG